CCAACAGTTTGTTTGCCGGTCATCCGCCGTTAGTTAATTGCCGTTGCCGCTGCAACTTGATTGCACTTATTGGTCAGCGGCATAATCAAATGCGCAACTTTTTGGCATGAAAGTTTAATTAGAAAGCTCGCATGTGCGGTGCGTAATGTGATAGCGGGGGCTCCGTTTAAGGCAAAACTAATTCCAACTCATAATTAAGCCACTTGCGCTGCAAGTTGGCCCGTAATCAGGCCTTTTCTGCGACTCTGGCTCATTAAAAATGGCAAACAAACCGCTCTCACCTTACACAGTTGCCGGGATGTTTTATATAATATCTTGCATGGCAATGCAGCTCAAGTCGCAGGCGCTAACTCAATTTGCCTGCGCGTGTAATTGCAGCCGGCTCCGTCGAGTTGTGGGCCAAACTTTAGTTGGCCTAATTGAGGGCATCATTATTCGCCCAGCAGAGCGGGCCAAACGAATGGCAGTCAGGGCTCGGAGCGGGCTATCCCTAATTATAAGTCAAATTAGAGTTGACCCTCGCCAAAGGCATCTTCCCGGGGATCTTAGGGCGCAGCAGCAAAAGCACTTTGTGCTTAACGTTTCATTTAATATTTAGCCAAATTTACTCGGTCACATAAATCAATGCCAAACAACAGGCCGGGTGCTCCCATATGAATACTCAAGTGTCTCGCCGAGCAACAAATGGGACAAATTTCCATTTCAAGCCAATGCCGCATAAATGGCACATAATTTACGATATGAACAACGGAGAGGAGCGGCAGAAGCAGCTAACCAAACATGCAGCTAACTATCCAAAAGCTGGTAACAATATTAGTTAGCAAGAGCGGCCACAGCAGCAAAGGCTACAGAGCCACACTGGGAAAAACTTTCTATAGCTTTCAGGGGAGCCTTGCATAAAAGAAGATAGATCTTCTATAAGTAATTTATTATTAAGAGATTATAAGAACATTTCCCTTTTCCTTTAATCTTATTCATAGTAATATTCATTCAAAATTGATATGTCTTCAAAAATTTAAGAACGTTGACTCATTGCTTGAAACGCCGATTTATTTGAAATTGTTTATATATATGCTACGAAGTTCACTAATATATACACTGAAATAAATGGCTATTCAAAAATTTTTGACTATAAAATTAGACTTATTATTTAAACAAGTTAATTGAACAGCGATTGTAAAAATATTTAATTGTTTCTTAACTTGTTAGCATGAACATTAAATTTCAATCAGTATTAATTTATAATGCTATCTACATCTGTTGAAAAGTAATTTATTAATACTTACTTATGGAATTGTTGGTCAATCTATTGATAATAATTTTATATCGGAATTCATGCAATGCCTTATTAACTTTCAAATCTATGTGGCCTTTGGCTAGATACAATTATTATTCAAAACTAATATGATTTTAGGAGAAAAGTTTATCTTTTATCAAAGTTTGTTACGAATCAAATGCTTTGCGCATTGTTTGTTGTTTGGTATAATAATTATGACACCTAATTGTCAGATCAGGTATTTTTCCTGGGTGTACTGACACCATCGGAATCAGAGAGTAAACTTTACATTTGTGTTGGCCGGTTGTTGTTGGGGAACCCGCACCCGAAGCTGGCCGGCGTCAATGTGTGAAGTAATTAATTACAAAGCAACTGATGTGTATCTGTGTGTGGGTGTCCGCTGCGAGGGTGTGCGTGTGGGTCCTGGGTTTTGGATTATGATGCATGATCATCTGTGCTGCACGCACACTTGAAACCCAAGCCCTACACGCACACGCTGGAACAGATAGGTAATGCTATCTGGACATGTGCACATGTACATATTCCCCACATCCCACTAGCCTGGATTTCCAGTGGCCAAAAATTAAATTGATTTACACCTGAGGTGAGAAAGCAGATTGGTTTACCAGGCCCAAATGCATTTCGTTATTCGAACAAAGCAACCGAAGATTTTCCTATCGGCTGAACTGAGTTGGGTGACAGATGGGGATCGTAATGATCGTTATATATAGTTGAAGGAGTTTGAGTTGTTATTTAGAAAAGAATAACATTAAAGGCTGTCACAGAATTCTTTAGAGATTTTGTCTTCCCTTATATTAGAAATCTCTTGGAAAATTGGTGATTCTCCTATTCAGTTAAGGATTCATTTTTAGAAAGGTTTAAAAGGAATATTACTATAATATTAGTTTGAGGAATAAGGAAACCTAATTGTTTATAATAAAAAAATTAAAAAGATTTAATTAGGTAGTTTATCAATAAATTGATTCACTACTTTTGTAATTTCCAAAAATATATATTTATAATATAAATTGTGTATATAATAAGGTTTAGAATAACATATTTGTGCCTTTTCGACTTATGAACTTTGGAATGCTCATAACAACTAAAATACTTTAACTATTGTAAGTTCCATAAAAACATTATCTAAACTTTGTATAAACAACATGTAAAATTAAATAGTTTTTGAAAAATTACATTTATAATTAGCAATATTCCTTCATGATTTTATCCAAGTGTATATATCCTTAGAGCTTTTTTATAAAAAAGGTATAGCTCAACCCATAATTAAGATGTAAAATGGAAAACTTCGTTTGTATATGCCTCATTATAATCATAGTTTATGAATGTTTGGTGCGCCGTAGCGCCCATCCCCCATCTACTCCCATAAAATTCGTATATGATTACGATTCCCATATAAATTCCAGACGCACAACGATTCCGCTTCCTTACGCTAATCCCAAAAGCCAAGTCTAGGGTATTCCACATTAGCACGGCAACTCTAGGCGTTGTCTGCCACTGGGGGCTAATTGAGCCCATAAGCAGAACCCGTCTTCTCTCTATGGGCACTTCGATTTAAAATTGCGGCGCGGGAGCCTCAAGGATATTTATGAATCCCAAACACGTGACGGAGAATAAAAATTCCGAAGGATCAGGGTATGGGGTGCATTTAAATTAATCACAGTAAAAGCGAATTGCCCAAAACAATGTAATATCCCGTGCGAGGACCTTTGGGGAACGGAAATCTGTAAACCGTGACGAGACCGAAACCAGAGCCTGTCACTGTATGGGTGGAGTGTGTGAGTGTGTGTGTGCGGGGGCCTTCCACTGTTTGTTTGTGTGCGTGCGGTTGCTCAAATTAAAACAAAGTGTCGTGCGTTTGATGAAAATGTAACGCATTTTGCTCAGCCAGCCAGCGACGCACATAAATGCTAATTGGCTTAAATGTATGCGTGTGTGTGTGGGAGTGTGTGGGGTGCTTTGGTATTTGGGGAAACGTTTTTCTACCAGCCAGGTGTTCAAACTTAAACATTTTATAGTTCGGTTAATTGTCAAAGCAGTGGCAAGAGCTGCCGAAAGTAAAAGGGTGCGCCGAACATTTGATGACTCAATTATTCGATGGTTTTTGTGGTTATCCTCTAGGGACATAAGGTTGGGAAGGGGTCTACAATGATGGTACACTGTGGGAAATTTTATTTTATAGTAAAGTATAGAAAACCCCTAAGAAATAGTAATGTTAATTTTTTTTAGCAAGAACATAACTATTTAAAATTCAAATTGTAAAAGAAACCAATCATAATTATGTTAAAAAAAAAACGTTTATAATTTATAGGACTATTTTATTGAAATCATGTCAAATCCTAATTAGGGAGATCATAGAATATGACTTTGAGCTTGGCATTGTGGATTTTATATTCACATTTATCAGTGTAAACTGTGATTTTTCCAGATGAGGTCGGAACCGTTTAGGCAGCTGTCGCACTGATTAGCATGACCTCTACGTGATGCCACCCCCTGAAAACTGGGGGTGGACAAAAAGAGCTCTGAAGAAAATTGAAAACAAGTGAAATAAAGTGATTGGCCATAACATTTGCGCGTACGCGTGCATTTTCCACTCTACGAGCTTGGCTTTTCCGTTTCCTTTCGCATTTCTCGGCCCGCCTGTGCCTTTGTGTGCCACAATTCTATGCTATTTTTATGTTTATCTGCTTCACTCCATTACGACTTTATGCTCTTTAGCAGACAATCAACATTGTTGCCGCGCCACCCCAAACAGCGCCCACTTTCCACCCCTGGGGGCATGCTACAAGGGCACCGTTTGCCGGGCGGACAATGCCCGTGCGAAAAATGCAAATTGCGAGTGGCGGAATGAAGTGAATGGGGCGTCGAATGACGGAATGAATGAATGAGTGAGTGATTGTTGCTGGGAGCCAGACATTTAGAGGAATTTGCGCTGCGCCGCCTTGATAAATAGCAACGCTTGGCCTAGCTTCACTTGGACTCCCTCATATGCCATAATTTATGCAAATTAATTTATAAAAAATATATACCTACTTGTACAGCCGTCTATGGCACGGACATATTTCATGCAAGTGCGACAATTTTCCCGCAAGTACGTAAATATAGTGCGCCTTAAAGTAGACTCATTTATATGGCTTTATGCTTTATGCGTAATTTCAGGCGCTGACATTTATGATGTATGTTCACAACAGCAGCATTCATAGAAGTAGACTTTCCAAATGGGCCTAAAATTCAACACTATAAATCAATACAGTTTAACTAAAGCGTTCTTTCTAAGTTCTATAAACCGTAGCTTCCTAAGTATAATTTTGTATGAGGAAGACTGTTGTTTCAACAATGTTCAATATTCTTAGGAAGTGGCTCTAAAGTGTCAAAAAAACTTAAAATAAATGTTTTTATATATTTAACTATAAGCTAGAAAATGATTTACCTATGTATTTGTAATTTAAGAACTGTCAGCACTACGTTTTCTTAATTAATAAATTTATTGCTATAAAAAATATAATTGTATTCCAATCTGTCGGTCCTTAAATGTTTAATATACAATTTTTCATTCGATTGCTCCTATTGTTATAGGCACAGGTGTAAATACATTTATGAATCTTCAGTTAAGTTGCCGTGACGACTGACGAATGACTAGACTGCCCTGTGGCCTCTGACTGAAAGTCAGACTCAAAGTCAGACAGGTATTCGTTTGCCTGGCTGAAACTCGTCATGTGAATTTGATTCCCCTTTCTTCGCATCTAGTGGGCGACCACATTAAATTCATCCAGAGTGGAATATAAAAATTTCAGAGCTTAAAAATTGTATTGGCAATAGTCTCTAGAAATATTTATACAACAGCGTGAAGATGCCCGAGAAACCAGCAGCGAAGTCCCCTCCGAAGACCCTGACCAGCATCAAGGGGACCAGGCCTTCCACAGCCTCATCCAATCCCACCTCCAACAGGAACAGACCCACAGGAACCGGAGTGGTCCGACCTCCATTGCCCAATACACATGATAGGGTAAGGCGTTATAATCATTTGGAAAATGGGTATATGGGATATATATTAATCACTATATCTTAATGGGAACAAATCGAATTTTGTCTAATTGCAGTTTTAGTAATGCGTTTTATCTTTAATAATTGTGTCTCTGCCAAATAGAATGATTATATAATAATTATTAGCGCATTCAAAATTTTTTTGTTCACAATTGAAGAAAGCAGTAAAATTTTTTAAATATAGAAGTCCGATAATAATATTTTTATTTAAGAGTAAATTAAATAGACCTTAATGTTGGTTGTTGACAGTGTAACATTGATTTTCTTTCGTTTATTTATCCCTAATTAATTATTTTTTACTTTTATAGATTTGGAAGATCATGAAGATGTAATGCCATGAAACAAAATTACTTTTAATGGGTAATAACTTCAGCAGGAATAAACATTGATAACACAATAATTTAATTTAATTTTAGGTCTCCAAACGGAGTCCACACTTTTAAATCAAGACATCCTTTTTTATTACAAAATGCATTTGATTGAACGAAATCTTGAGCTACGATAGTGCTGAATAAAGCGAGAAAGTCCCATAAAGGAAACTACTCTTATAATTCCTTGATTTGCTGACTGGAAGTTGGTCGAAGCGCAGGCGCTGGTCTCCGAAGAGAAATGGGGGTTATTTATATTACAGGGTTATTTTCCCTTACACTCTGACTTTTTATCGCAGTTTGCCTGAAGCTGGTTTAGAGGTAGAAAATATTTAAGTCAATAAGAGCCTTAACTGGTATTATTTTAACTATAAGGAGCTTATTGTAAATGTCAAGAATCTTGACTACTAGCATTCTGAGCATTCATAAAGTGTTGCAATAGGTAATTGGGGGGTATCTATTATTTTATGTTAAGTATCTAAGAGTATGAATTTATAAGGATAAAAATAAGAGGAACGCAATCTAAACAAATAGATATAACACAAATGGGATCTTTTAATATATGAAGGGGAAATATCCTAAGTACTACATTTTAAAAGCATCCTGCAGGCAGGACCTGAATGCAGAACAGCTTGGGATAGGCCCACTTCCCAGTTCCTTAAATGCAATTTAAACCAAAACAAACTCAAACGGCCGAGACTCTCTCGCCGAGCTCGTGGCATTTTACTTTCATTCGGTAATTGAGTGGAAACGAGGCGGTCCTGCGACGAAGGACTCGCCCGACGAGCGAAAAGTCCCCGAGATGGAATCGACCGAGCAAAGGACATTTTGGTGCTCGGCTGCGTTTTTGCCAATGCCGTGGCTCAGTTTCGTATTCGTGTCGGAACGTGGCGCTACGGTCTTCTGCCCAAGGATACGCGGAGTCCAGTCCGTTGGAGGAGCAAACGCGGCGCGTGGAACCCACAAAACAAATCGAAAAAAGAAGAAAAGCAGCAAAAGCACAACCGATTCGCTCGAGTGTGCCCGTGTGCGAGTGTGTGAGTGCCGAGTATCTGTGTGCGTGGATCGGTCCTGTGCTGTTTGGGGCCGTTTAATTTTATTAGCGCCCCGCGATGCGTCATGAAAATCGCAGGCAAAACACAGAAATACAATAAATGAAAAATTAAATATTAATTAAATTCCGCATACGAATCTCGCGGCGAGTGCTGCGATTCCGCTGATTGAAATGTTAAATAGATATTAAAAATTGATGGTGTATTCTGCCGGATAAGTTGCCCCCCTGCGTACATACATATTGTGCATTGTGCATTGTATATTGTATATTGGCATCTTGGCCATCGGGTGTGCGTGTACATGACTTTATTAAAATTGTAAGTCCCCAACTCGCGCGTGTTCTCACACATTGTTTGTGGACTCTTGCGACCGCTCCAGATTTCCTTCCCATTTGTTGTTGCACTTATCGCGATTACCGCACGGAGCGCTCCACCTACTTGCCACATCCTGCAACGTCCTCGAAAAGTGCGTACGTAACGGCAAGTTAATTAAGTTTTGGGCCTGCATATGACAAATCCCGGCTTAAGCCGACTTTAATTAATAATACAAGCACGGAATTCTTTAATGTTTATCGCCTTGTAGTCGATTTAAATGGCTGTTGCGGGCGCAAATATATTCATGGAATCTTTCTGCGTGCTGCACTTAATTGCATTTAACTGGCAATTAATTGCCTGAGCTGGGAAATTGGTTACCCACAAGCCAGGGGGTTCAATTATTTTGTGTGTGCCTTTATATCAATTTCTCAGCTTAAAGTCCCATTCAGAAAATGTGAATGGGAATAGGATTATCATCCGAACCAATGCATGAAAATATTTGAAAGCCAGCTCAACAATGCAGGATTCTTTCTGTTGAAAAATATTAGATGAAGCTTAAAAAAGTGTATTTTATTTTTGAAGCCAAAAACACAGCCAGCTCAATTCATTGAAATAAAATTTGCTTGGACAAAGGCAAATTTCCAGCTGTCGGCAGAAAAATGATAAAGAAATGGCCAGATACCAGCATTTGACCAAAATTTATGGCCCGACTCTAAAGCAGAGTGGTTCAAGCCAGTTAGTCCAGGCATAAAAGCTCCTTACAACAAGCCAAAGAGTACGCCAGGAATCCGGGCCTAAACTCAACCGCACAGATAGGCCGACAGACAATCAGCAAGTGGGCTTATTTGCGAGAGCCGGGGTAAGCATTTTGGCCAGGCATTCGGGATCTGCACTTACCTATCTGCGGCAGCAGCACGTTTTATAATATTTATGCATGTCCCTGCCGACAGGAGATGTGCACTCATAGGGGTCTGGGGTTTCGGGTTTCGGGGGTTCGAGGGGCTCCAAGGGTTAACCAGGGTGGAGGGCTAAAAAATAAACCAACAGGCAGCGTGGGCCTGGAGTGTGTGTAGAGGCACTCTGACATTTGCCAAAAGTAACACTCCAGTCTGAAGTGGGCCAGGGCATTCGAAGCGATGCATATCCGAGTGGTAGGCGCATCCGAGAATTACATTTAACATTATTTTACTTGGCAGGGGTTAGGCAAACAAACTCAGATACAGGCGAAACAGAAGCAGGCAACAGATGCCGCAACAACAAAATTAACGAAATAAAAACAGGCCAAGGAAAACAAAACAAGTGCAGCCAGAGAACACGCACAAAACGGTCGACTTGAGTTCATGTGGGAAGGAATTAACCCATTGAGTAATAGACGTTACCAGATCCATTACTTTTTATTTTTACCTGTTTTTCTAAAATATTTTTGTTCACGTTAAAATGTTCATTTTTTGGATAGCTGTTAAATATTAAATCTTTATTAATTTTAATTCGAAATGAATATGTCTAGGAAAGACATAAAAATGTATTTTACAAAATCTTTTATGTAACTTATGATTTTTGGTGTTTAAGTAAGGTTTTAACTTTAACTTCTTGCAATATAATAATAATAACAATCAAACAATAGTACTACTTTTTTATTTTATATCCAAACGTTCTATAAAAGTAATGCAGTAAATGTCAGGAGGCATGCAAAACTTCTTCATATTATAAACATCTTTTAAAAATACATTTAGAAGTTTGTAAAATGGTAACAACTTTCCCAGTTGTATACCAGGTCCCAAAGTCAATGGATGTTTTCCGTTTCGTGCCTGAGTAATGGGTTAAATGTGAATGCTGGCAGATAGCTGAGCAGAACATCTCGACGCCCACTTGGCTGTTGGCTTGTTTACACAAGCCCAACATTTTTGACAGTGCCACTCGCAACAAGAGGAACATGTGGAGCAGCTGCGGGAAAAGATTGATCCTTCGCCGCTGCGAAGCGAGGGAAATGAAAAAAAGAAAGGGAAAATGTCGTCCAATCCCTGGCGATTCCCTTGGTCCTTGACTTTCCTTTGAACTATCGCAGTGGCCGAGACCGTTTGTTTTGCTTATTCCCCATTTGTTGCTTGCTTACAGCTGTCCAAATTTATTACGGCCAAAACAAATCGGTAAACTTTCTATGCCAACTTGCAGCAACTTTCACGTACTGCCCGTAGAACGCAGTGTTTCCCTGTGCACTCGCTCCTGGTTTCGTGTTGGCCTTTTGTCATAAAGCTTAACACGTAAAAATGTTATTGTCCGATGTGGAGTTGTGTGGCTTATGCTGATTTGTGTTGACCCAGTAAGCTTGCAGTGCCAGTGGCATTGGCAACGGAAACGAACCAGAATCGGAAAGAAGTATGGACGTTTTATGGTCGTAAGGCTGATTTAGGACTCCCAAGTGAAAGCTTTAAGGTCTCGGAACCGGAGAGATGTGGGTTAGACGTCGAAAGGCGTTGCATATCCGGGCCCCAATTATTGGGGTGCTCATAAAATGCTGCCCTGCATAGAGGGTTTTTAAGGGAAATTTAGAGTAAATAATTCCATTTGGTTGAGTTTGGGGAATTTGATTTGAGTTGATGTACTAGCTGAAGCCCAGTCTACTGCAAAACGAATCCATTTTTTCATAATAAAATAACTTTGGGAATTTCGGCTAATGAAATAAAACTGATAGTAAATTTCAGCACGTAAAAAATGTTTTTTTTTTATTTTTTTTTGAGTTGGTCTAAATTGAGTTCAATGTTAATTTGTTTAAAGTAAAAATCTGTTGTCTGGATCCAGAAATATAAAATTCTGCCTTTTATGCCAAAACAATTCCCTTTTAAAGTATACTAAAAATTGAATTGAATAAATATCGTTAAAAATCCTCTGCCAAATTTATGGAAACCTTAGCTTCATCAAATCATTTTAAATTATTCATTTGATGGCCATAGCCAGTGAGGCTGTTTTAATATTGAGTTTTCTGAACAATAATACACTACAAATAATAAATAAGGTTAATAAATTTGTAAACGTATTTCAATGTTTAAATAAAATCAGCTTAAAGAATTATGTTACTTTTGCTATAAATATCTCCATTGAAGTTACAACCATATGCCTTTGTGATTCGAGTTCTGTCAGTCCTTCAGAACACTACAATTACAACTTCAGGAAATACTTCAGGATATATTTGGCTGCAGCGAAATTCGAAACAATAAATAGGAAAGCCCCGTTCAAACCGAAAGAGTTGCTAACTTAAATAATAAACAACGGCTGACGTAATGGCGGGCACTTAACCCTTATCGAGTCCGAAGTTAACCTGTAATTGCGGCACTTGGGCTGTTAACTCCCAATAAGTCCGGCGAAAGCGTTTCGGCCCGCTCTCGCCGGGAATTACACTTCATTTGCCTAACCAAACTGGCCCCACAGAGTTTTCGCCCGGAGTTTGCGCAAAGTTTTAACTCTTATCTGTTGTCTATCAGGAAATTTTATGCGATTTTGTTTACCTATTTTAATGAGAACCGAAAAATGCTCGCACCAAAGCGGCGATGAGCGAAAGGAGATGGAAAGGAAAGCACACACCACCGCCTGTGTGTGTGAAAAGTGGGAAAAGCGGGAAAAGCCCTGGCGAAAAACCAGGTCAAAGCAAACAGAACGAAAGGGCCGAAAATTTATGCAAAACTCAAAAAAACAAAACAAACCGGGAGCGGCTGGAAAAAAGGCACGAAAGTACACACACATACATATGCGATGCAAGGACCATGTCCGAAGGGAAAGTGCGAGTGTGGTCGTGTGTGCTC